AGGGGCTCCTGCTAGCTGGTGTAACAAACTACTCTGCCATTCTGTACCTGGAGTATGGTGATCCACCCAGTCTGTGACATGGGTCATCTGTAGGGTTACGGGGGAGCTTTATAATGATGTAGAAAGGTAAGTAAGAAGTGACTGGACTTTCCTGCTTGCATACGAGCAAGCCTGTATGCTGTGGTGTAAAGTGTCAGCCCTACCATACTTCCAAAGAAAAATGGGCTTTGTGTGCTGTCAGACAATCCAGAGTACCAAGTGCAGCAGTCTCAGCTGCTTGGATGGTTGACTGGTAACTCCTTTTTTCTTTGGACTGCTGCTATTGCAGCAGCTTCTTGAGGAGCTGGTAGACTCAAGTTCTCAAATTGACTGAACAAGGGTAAATGGCCTGCCAGCCTTGCAGGTTGTTTTTATAATGCTATAAACTGATAGTGCTAGGCTTGTTTGACATTCCCATGCCCCCTTATATGTTAGGGAAGAACAAAAAGCATGCTGTTTGTAATCCTGTAACAGGTGACTCACTAAAGATTTGCAAAGTCTACAAGTTCCTGTAGTGCACCTTACCTGTTGACCCCTCCAGTTATCACTGGGGGACTGGCTATAGTCAGTCTTCAGTCAGTGTGGTCTGAATTTGCATAGGCTACAGATACAGTTCCACTGATGTGGCTGTCTCTTCTGTGGAGACGCAACTGGGTGTAGCAACAGGGTTTTTCCGAGGCAGGCATGGAGTATCCATTACTGTAATCTGAGGTGGAGCTGCATTTGTGTTAAATGTGGTGGTGTGGGAGGGGCCTTAGTACCAGTGGGAAGAAGCCTCTTTCTTTGAAAATGCCCAGGTTCCTGGTATGGCAAAGCAAGGACTGTACTTGACAACTTTTCAGCCTGTTCAAGGATGAGCAGCATTGAGGTGAATTGATGCCTGCTGTCTGGTTCAAGGGAAGCCTGCCTACTGCAGAGGGTGGCCTGTTTGGTAATGGATTAATTATAAAAGACTCCTGATGTACGCACTCATCAAAAATGGTGTTTCAGACTTTCTATATTAGTAACCCATGATATCTTAATTGAAAGTTTGACTTGTGTTACTGGCTCACTTCCTAATGCAGGGAAATGCTGCCTATTAGTGCTCTGGAAATCTTTCACACATTGCAGTGTGAAAACCTGCTTCCCCATGGTGGGACACAGGAGGAATCACTGGCTCTGAATGGACCAAATGCTGCCAGATTGTGTGTGGCTGGGTCTGAACCTCTGTGTTCTTAGGTTAAGCATGTCTGAATGTGTTGCAGCTGCTGAAACAGCATTGATGCAAATGGTTCCCTGGCTTGAGGTCACTGTCCATGGGTACATAGCTGTCTTGGGAGCTTTGCAGAACTGATGCAAGGCTTTTGGTAACAGCCTCTTTCTATATTGAGGAAGTGTTGCATGAGGTGGCTTGCAGCTAACTTAGCTGCGAGATTAACATTCTCTGTGCATGACCTGACGGAGCACTGTAACTATAGCTACAAAAGATTGGTCCTAATACTTGGACTAGCACTTGAGCTAAACCACAGGCTGCTTGAGTACTGACAATGAGTATTGGAGGCAAAGCTCTGCTGAAAGTCCTGGCAGTGGCAAGACTACAGGTAGTCTTCAGTCTTTACTGAAATTATAGCCTATATGGCAAGTTACTTTTTAGTTCATACTTCATCTTGGAGCTGCATGGCTATATTACCTCTGCTACCACTTTTGACTAATAGAAAGTAACAGCTATGGTGAGGTGCCAGGCCACCTATCCTCAGCCCTGTGGGAATGCATTTTGCCCCCAGGAGTGATACGAAATTAACTAGCTTGTGAGTTCAAGCAGTTACTCTTCAGAAGTATTTAAAAATCAAGTTAACCTTTGAAACATGCTTACTGGAGTAGGTGGTCTTGAATGATGTGTAAAGCAACTTCTCTGTATTGTAACACTGAAATTATAAATGGCACAGTTCCTAGTTATGGTCCAGAATGGCTTCCTTATGTGATAAAGCTAGGTAGGTGAAGTACTGCTTCTCTGGCTGCCAGGTAAATGTTTGGATAGCTCTGTGTGCTTTAAAGGTAGTGTTGCAGCTGAACTAGCCTGTGTGTTAGAGGTGATGGAGCTGTATGATCTGAAGCAAATACATGGAGTCTTGGTGTGCAGCAGTCGTATAGCTCTTGTTCCATTTTGACTGTCTTCCACAGTTCTCTTCAAATCCTATTTGCTGAGAAGATTTTTGGAAAAAAAAGTCCTTCCAACTCATCAGGAGTATTTAAGTGTAGTATATGTGCTTCAAATGTTTGCAGCTGCCAAGAGGTACAGGTGAAGATGTGCAGGAGGATTGACATAAATGCCCTGTAGCCCATAAATGAACAGCTGTGTTATTAGATGGCTGTGTTGTGGTGGGAAGTGGGTATTGTCTTTGCCACCCAGGCTATAATATTGGAGTATTGGCAAAGGTGCAAGGAGAGCTTCTCAGGCCAGTGAAAAGCAGTAAGATAAGCTGCCTTGTAAGATACTGGAGGTGCAGGTACTCTGGTGTAAGCCTGTTGGGTGGGATGCTGATGAAGACTTCCCTGTCCCTCTGAAGCTGTATGTGTAGCACCTGTGACTGTCCACCAGTAGGAGTGGAATAGATCTGCAGTGCCATCTAAAACTGTAATGTGAAAACTATCTGCTACAGACTACGTGTAGACTTTATTTGTTAATGTGTCCAGACCAAGTTCAAGCCATAAGCTCTTGCCTGTTCCCTAAAATTGGGATTTAACACTGGGAATTGACAAACTTGTGCTGATCTGCCCCTCCCCAAAAGCTTAAGCAGGCTGGCTTTCTGTAAGTGAGGTTACAAAATCGGCCTCTGTAATCCATCACTGCATTAATTGCAACACCTTTGAGTAACTTCAGGCTTGGAGGAAGTAATGACTGATCTAATTTTAAATAGTGAACTTCTCTCATGAGCCTCTGTTTCTGGAGAGGTTTATAAAAATTCCAGACAAGAGAAGTGGTTTCTTGCTAAATGCTATCGCCAGTCTAGATAGCCTGAATCACTTCCAGTCCTTGGAGTATGCTTCATTCAACAGAAAAGGTTCCTAATTCAAGTTAGTGAATTCTTTCTAGACTTCCTAGGAGCTAACTGTTAAGCAGTACCATTGCTGGTACTGCTAGTGAAGTCTGTGCTAGTTTCCAGGCTCAGCTTACATTTGCTGGTAAAACCTGTCTTCTGCTCTTGGCTCAGGCTTCCTTCTAAGCTGCATTCTAGTTCTGAATTGCACTGAACAGCCCACTAGATCTGGCTCGGTGATAATCAAGGTTCAAGATCTTTGCTAGTACAGAACCAATTTGTAGTTGATAATAAAGCTTTCCCTTGAAGTTTTTGTAATTAAAACTGAACTTCCTTCTGATAGTGAGTCTTGTATTAGTGCAGCAGTGCTACCTTTATTAATCTTCTGTAGTTACTTGGTGTGAAGCCAGGAGAATTACTGCCCAGTTCTTGACTGCTCAGAGATAGGCTTTATGTAAATGCTGAATGAGAAGCAGGAAAGCAAATCTCCTAAACCTGATTAATACATCCCTGCAGCTGTTTTGAGCAAGGTGCACCATCTCACACTTGGATGCTGGTGTAAGGCAACTACAGATCTTTGTGGAACAAGCAGCTCCCTTGTAGAAACCTTAGTTTTAGGTGGAGCAAACTCGAGTAGTAAGTCTCTGAACAGTACAAAGATTTTAAATCCCTATGGTTTTAATACTCTCCAGTAGCCTTTTAGAGCAGGCAAAAGCATTGTCATGCTAAATAGGGATGTAACCTTTGAATATCAGTTTGATGGTGTCTCAGGAGGAGACTGCCTAGCATTCCACATACCTTGCAGTGCTGCTTTGAGGACTTAGTCCTGAATGGTGCCGACCTGCAGATAGTCTCTTGGGTGATGGTGAGTGCCGTCCAGAGTACTTCAAGTTACAAGTTCAGAGTATTCTAGAGCAAGGTTGGAAGGAAAGGGGTCTTTCCATGTACTTCAGAATCAAAGATGTATTTGTGGAAGCTTTTGTGAGACTATTACAGAGTTTTCAAGGCAGAAGTTACTTTTTGGAGTAGTGCTTTGACACTCTTGTAGCAGTTCTCAGTTGGCGGTGATAACCCATGTGCTGCTTTGGAAACCAAGCTTTGGATTTCTGTGTTGGTGTCTGCATACTCAAGTGTTCACACAGGTGGTCAGTGAACCTTAGGGTTAAGGTGGTTGTGGTCCTCTAACCTGGAAGCCATACTCTTTGTGGTTCCAGTGGTTGTATTGACAAGTGTTTGGACCTGAATCCTTCACAAGTGAGGCCATTGATGCATGAAGAGGGTGTCCTTTCCTCAAGGAATGGAGTGCAGCAATAATATGCAAGTGTGTTGCTATCTCAGTATGTGTCTGATGAAACTGAAATGGCATGTTTAACCCCAGGCCAAAGCATAGGCAGATATGTTTTGTGGAAGAGGCCCCATGAAGGTGATTTGTTAACGTTGGGTGTGTCTGAGAACTCAGCCTAAGTGGCTCAAAGCTCAGCGACTGTAAAACCTTGCTTTTGGCTGGGTGGTGTCCTGCTACAGTAGAAACACATGCTTTGTTGTTTCCTCAGCAGTTCAGCTGAGTAGAGCCTTTCGGTGTTGGCTCCAAGGGCACAAAGTCTGAAGTAATGACTTATGATTTGGACCTTGGGTTTTGGTTCCTAAACAGAATGAATGTCCACTAGGGAGTATACATGGCTATGAAGCTGGCTTAGACAGGGTATTCTGTGATCAGTACTGTTTGAACAGCACCTTTGTGTTGATCTAGCTTTGGTCTAGGACTCTGGATGGGTCAGTTCCTCATCCCTTAAGGGAATATTCTGGGCTGACAAACCAAGTAGTCAAGTGACTGTTAGTTTTTCACAGTTCTTACTTGTGCTGGCTCAGCTGTTCTAATACTGCAGCCTTGTGAAGGAGATGGTATTTGAGGATGTCTAATGCATTTTTTTTTCTCTCTTCCAGCTTTGGGAGCTGCATATGGAACAGCAAAGAGTGGCACGGGTATTGCAGCCATGTCTGTCATGAGGCCTGAGCTCATCATGAAGTCAATCATCCCTGTTGTCATGGCGGGTATTATAGCTATCTATGGCCTCGTAGTGGCAGTCCTCATTGCCAATGCCCTGTCACCTAGTATCACGTTATTCAAGTAAGTCGCTTCATCTGTCAGCTTTCAGTTTGTCCTGTCACTGTTTTGCTGCTGAATTGGGTGGGTTTTGCTTAAGACCCCAGGAAGAACTGTCAATGCTAAATGCTCCTAACTTGGGTTTAGCAGTATGGACTGGATTTCAGCTGTCCTACCTGATTCGTTAGCCTCAGTAGTACTGCCTGATTATTTTGCTGCCTGAGCTACTAGACCAGACATTCCACTGCTGGAGACAATGCAGTGGTTTATGGCTTGAAAGAAACTGTGTATAGGCAGTAGTGGGATAGGAGGCTAAGCTTGTCTCACAGTGCCAAATTCTAGACCTAGAATATACCAGTCTTTCCAGGACTGTCTAAATAGTTCTCTGTTGTCTGGCAGATGCAAGTGAATAATTAATACTGCTTACTGCTTTTTGTGCTGGTGAATCAATCCTCATGCTATACATTGGGCCTCTACACCAGCTACAGTGTGAAACTTAATCTGCTGTTGGCTTTTGAGAATAGCTGGAACTGGCTTGATGGAGACATCTCGGAATAAATGATGCTTCTGAGATCTAACAGTAGATATCTATGTTACTGTGTAAGCTATAGCTGATGAGCAGTGTGGTTGGCCTAATAAGCCATGATCTAGGAAACAGCAGGTACAAATGCTCCTTTGCAGTTACCAGGTGGCCAGATACTGATAGGGACTGCTCCTCAAGTACCCCTGCCTGGAAAACACGACCATTCCTGTCCAACTTATGCAGTCCAAGGGACCTGGTAATCACCTGGATGTGCTATGGCTATGTAATAAGGCTGCTAAAGGTGGGAGACAAAAGTAGCCATTAACAGGCTGCACAACACTGGAGGACAGGCATTGCTGCAAGTGCTAGCCCTCATGGCTGGAGTAAGTACAGCTCTGATAGCATGCTAAGCCTGCAGCTGACTGAAATGGCTACAGACGAGCGGGGTGACCATGTGAACTCACAGGCCCAGGAGCTTAGCTTAGTGTGTGAGCCATACCTGAGTATCAGCTAAAGATCCAGCATAGCTGCCCACAGAGCTAGGAGTCTCTGGAAGAATCTGCTTTGAGACATACTGTGCTTGCTTAAAGAGTATAGAAGCTCTTTCTGCAGGAAAGAGGTTTTGTTTAAATGTTAATTCTTATTTCCTTTGGGGAGTGCAAAAAAAGGCTATGCTGAAGTTGAAGGGTTGGGTGTCCCCTTGCTTGCCACTGAAACTCTTTTAATTTCTGTCCTACAGGAGTTTTCTTCAGCTGGGTGCTGGCTTGAGTGTGGGCCTCAGTGGTCTGGCTGCTGGCTTTGCCATTGGCATTGTGGGTGATGCAGGTGTACGGGGAACAGCACAACAGCCCAGGTTATTTGTGGGCATGATCCTGATTTTGATCTTCGCTGAAGTCTTGGGTCTCTATGGCCTCATTGTTGCCCTTATCCTCTCCACAAAGTAAACATTGCGGTATGATGTAAAGAGATGTAACAAATCCACATTTAAAAAAAAAGCTCCAGAATGAAAATGGTCTCTCCAATGTGTACAGTTGTCCCAATTTGGTAGTTGATCTCTTGTAAATGCGCAATGTATGTTAGTGACTTGTCTGTCCTGTGTGTACTTCAATATTAAATTGGATGGGCTGCTCCAAGCCTGCTACATGGCGTGGGGTGGCCTGTGTGCAATTTTCCACCCATTGCTGTTAGTACTTTATGTATAAATATGAACTAGAAATGTAATTTTTTCTCTTCACTGGATGTTTATTTATAAAAGACTTGACATGTTCATACATCTATGGAGCAAGGATTTTCAATTTCCCATGCTATATATATTAATCTTATATATAGGTAGATTACACTGTGGGGTCAATTGTAAGTGCAGAGAATTCCTTGGATGTTACTTTGATTCTAAAGGTTGCTGTAGTGTCCTGGTATTGGAGTATGAGAATTCTGTGTTTTATTACAGCAATTGTCCGAAACACTCCCGTGTTTCAGTAGTAACCGCGTATGCTCCGGCATCAGAGTTGTGCACCCACTGTTGGGTTACAAACTTAAACCATGTTTCCAAATAAAATTTCCTCACTACATTGCTGTAATGAGTCCTTTGCCTCTGATTTCATGCTTTTGCTGCTCCTTTAGTAAGAGGAGGGGTGCCTTTAGGGAGAGGCAGGTTCTTGAAGTGACTGAGCACCATGCAGAAGTGATGCTGTCATCACTGCCAAACCATTCCTTTTTTCTCCTGGGCAAGTAGCAATGCTGTTTCCAGCTGCTGTCTGTGGGCAGTACTCATGGTAAGCAGGAATGCAGGGCTGTTGTACTGCTGTGCTTTCCCTGATCAAGCAGCACATCTTTGCTCTGGCACATGGTAATGCTGTGTAATAGGCTGTGCAGCATGTCCTGTGCAGAGAAGTTCTGGGAGCAAGGGTGCAGGCTTCAAGTGACAAGGAATAGGAGCTGCTGAAGAGCTTTAAGGCAGCTTGTCCTTGTGATGGCTTTGCAGAAACTTAGCTGGTTGGAAAGCTGCACTGTTAGCAGCAATTGCCTCTAAAGTACCTGAACAATAGTCTCATCAACAAAATGGGTTTGTTCAAGCACTCATATTTTTAATTTGTAGATCAGGAGCATTTGAGCTGAGAAGTTCTGCTTTTGCATTAGTGTTGTAGCAACCTTCTCTTGTCCTGAGGATTTATTAATGTTGCAAAGCAACACTGAAGCTCATATGGGAAATAGATGTTGGACCCTTACAAATACAGAGCTTGTTCTAAATTGCCTTTGGGAACTGTTACCTTAATCTTAGTTATAGTTTGGAGAACAGGTCAAGCTTTACCATTTTCAAGCCAAAATGTTAGTATTACTGAGATACCTAGTACTAGTAATGGCTTTGTGATCAAACTAAGCTGAGGAACCTGGAGTGATCTGCCAGCCTCTTCTGTCAGCCTGGTTGGAAATGGAGAGGCAGTGGTGTACGTGTATTTCATGTATGTTGAGTATGCCTGTGCAGTGAAAAGTCTGTAAGTACCACGAAGAGCTACGGCCACAGCATGAGGAATTCACTGAAACTATGTGTGGAGCTTCTAACCTGGCAGGAGCATTCACCAGGCCCGGTGGCACTAATGCATCTTCTGGGTAGCTGGTCTCTGAACTGAGGACCATTCAGGAGACTGAAGCTATGAGCCAGTCATTCTGCTGGTATGGATTTTCACAAACTTCTGAAGGTGAAATCTTAATTGATGACCATCAACAGTTATTGACAAATTGGTTTATTCTGTTTGCTATAAAGCTGATCTGTCTGAATTAATTTAACAGGCTATCAGCTGCTTGGCTTTGGGTTGGGATGTACTAGTGGTTCTGTGTTTTGGCAGGACTTTCCTTTATGGCAGACTGAGCAGTGATGGTGCTTGGAGTGTATAGAGGCCTAAGCTGATCTAGTGAAAATCCTGGATGTCTGCTGAAGCATTGCCTGGGGTAAGGGAAAATTTACTAATCTGAATTGTGTTGATCATTCTTTTCTTCAGTAAAACTAGTAGTCTCTAAAATTATGAATTAGACTTTATCTAGGGGTCATAAACATTTGTGGAAACAATAGCATAATTCTCAGCACTGATTGCAATGAGCGTCTCCCCAGTACTTATGTGCAGTCTGATAGAGCTTGCAGCTGGGAGGGGGTGAATTGCAAATACAGGCTCTCTGGAAACCATGCCATACATGTCTTGCAGTGCTGGTGAGAGGAATTGGATTTTGCACGTGTAGCAGGACAGGAGAAGGTCCTGGCTGGGGCTGCAAATATGTTTAAGATCTGGTTTTACATTCTTTACAGGGAACCTGCTTCCAGCCTTGTTTTTTGCCAATTTACAAGAGTGTGAGCAAACAGCATGTAAGAGAGCAAATAAATGCTGGTGGTAGTGCTCATCTCTAAGAAATAAACAATTTAAAGGCAGCAGTCTATAGGAACTCTTAAGATCCTTTTGTAGCTTGATGACAACTTGCAGAAGGCAGTTACTAGGCTCAGGGTGGTGATGGATAATTACATAACCAAATGCAAAATCCAATCAACAGCATTTTGGTTCATGCCTTGGAACATCGAGCCTTTCTCATTAATATATAAACCCATGCAAGTCAGGAGAACAGAGCATAAAACAAAAGCTGGGGTTAGCGTAGATGGGGAGGATTGCTTTGTGCTGAGAGCCTGCAAATATGCTGGGAATAAAATTAACACTGAGCGTGTTGTCTCTGCCAAGCGTTTTCTGACAGCAATGCTCTAGATCCTCATTGATGACTCCCAGGTGAAAACTCATGTTTCAAGTCCTTCACTGATGCTATTGCATCAGCAAATTTCTCAAGTGATTCAGGGCATTAAGGAAATTATGGACCTTTTGGTCCCTTTCCTTCATCTGCTGACAGTGGCATGCTAGGTCAGAGTGCAGTCCTATCTGGCAGGGATTGACTTTGGTTTTGAAGAGGCAGACAGGCAGCCTCAGTGTGAAAAGACAGGCTCAGAGTGCCTGATTAAAAGAGGTGGCGTCTGCTGGCACATAAATAGTCCCCTGTAATGTGGCAGATTGCGTGCCTGGGAGCGGGCACTGCAGAGTGAGTCAGCCCTGCAGAGAGAGAACAGAGCAGGGTGGCTCTGCTGCAGCAGCAGAGGGTAAATGTCTATTAACAATTGGTTCAGGCTAGGTGAGGTTAAGGGATGCCTGCTGCCAGGTGCTGCCTGCATGGACAATGCCTTCGTAGAGCTTGCTGACCTTTCTCTTTTTTAACTCTTTCATACTGTCTTTTTTCTCAAAGGCTGCAGATTAAGTGATCTGTTGGAGAAGCATTTTTTAGTAGGCGGCTTTTATCTGTGATTGCTCAGGGATTGTCTTTCCTTGGGAGACCTGGTTTACAGAGAAGCATAGTAATCTGGAAAAGTAAATAAGCTTTGGGGAAATAAAAACCTCGTTAAGAAAAAACAATCCCGGAAACTAAGCCACTGTTTTCAACTACAGGGTAACAGCAAATCTAATGATAGAAACTCTCGGTAAACCTTGTTTCCTTCACAGTCTAACTGTGGGGATACTGATTTTATGGCGTTTTGCTGTTTCTATCCAGCCTTACTGTGCAAACCATCACTGTTCCTCTGGTGAGAATTACCTCGGTCTCTGACACACGGGACCTTCCACCTGTGCTCTTAGTGTATCTCTTTCTGCTCTGTGGGTATTAACCATCTTTTTCTCTCAATATAGTTAAATTAACCCCAGAGTAGGTCTTCCCAGTGCCACTTACCCTGGAGTGAGAATTTTCTGTTTCAGGGTCAAAGGATTGTGTCCCAAAAAGCTTCTCCATTTTTGTTCCTGTTATTCACTAATGAATGCTGTTCCTTTTCTCTGCAAGCCATGCTTCATTTTGCTCCTGAAACGGTCACAGCTTAGCAACTCCTATCACTGAGTTTCTGTTGAGCTAGTTCCTGTATTACAGCAGCAAAGGACACAGAAAAAAATCCTCCCTCAACCTTACCTGTGTAAGGCCTGAAGCTTTCCTAGGGGCCAGACTGCAGGGTCCCAAGTGCCACCCACAAGGTATTTGCAGGCAGACCACTGACAGTTCTCACTGACCTGTGAGAGTACGCGTTGGGTAGCAGGAGGGCAGGACAAGGTTCCTGGAGAATCAGTGGCTCGTGTTTGCCATCTTCCTTTTGCTGAGAGGATGAGATGCACTCATGACAGGCTCAAGGCCTGGTCCTTCTGGATTTACTGGTGGCTATTTCAGTCACTTTTTTGGCACTTGGAACTGTCCTGGCCTTGGTATTACATCTGTCCCTTCCTCCTTTGCCTTTAGGAGAGGGTAAAGGGGTGACCTCAGGTGGCAGAAAGCAATGATGACCACTTAGACATAATGGCTTTGTCTTCCGGAGGTAGGCTGAGGACTAATCGTAGGAAATCAGGTATATTCCCAAGATTGGCAGCGTGTTCTCAAGTCATAGATGTAAGCAGCCTCCCTGGCTCCTGTGTGCATTAGGACAATTTCTTGGACCTCTTTGTGAATGCATGTGAAAAATTAGAAGCCAAGGCTGCATCTCCACAAGCACTTCATTTGGCAGCAGTGCTAGCCCAAGCCCTCCCTCTGGACACTTAGACCTGCTTTCACACCTGTAGCACACGCTCCCCTGTTCCTCCCATGTGCGCTGGTACAACTTCTCATGCTGCCAGGCAGTGAATCTAATTTGGGAATTGAGCCAGGTTAAAAATAACTCAACCTGAAGAAAAAAGCATTTGCTAAAGAAAATCCAAGTGAAACTACAGCTCATGATTCCCCTGCCCATTACTGGGGCAGTACAGAGAAAGAACATACAATTATTAGAGGAGTGTTCAATTATTGGTGATGCAAGACAAGGTTAATGTAATGCTGAGAAATGAAAGGAGAACGTCCAAAGGGAGGAGACTTAAGCAGGACAGATACATGACATACCTACAGCATCAGTGAGGCAGATTTCCATACCTTTTATCTCAGCACAGGCTGCTCTGTTCTTCCCAGCAGTGCAGAGGGAGGTCTGGACCATTTTCCAGCATTCTTATTCAGTGGTTTGCTTTGGGGCTTGCAGCCTAGAAAAATAATGGATATCTGTCGCTGAAGGGTTGGGGAAGCTGTGGCAATGAGGTGGACCCCATGGCAGGATCTTTTATAGTGGATGTTACTGTCTGTAAGCAGTCGGTATTTGCATTCACCTAGATGTCTTTTCCACTCCCAAGAAAAGTTACTGTCACAAGTCTTGTAGCATGTGTGTTCTTATGAAAGTGCCCTGTTGTGGCCACAGGCAGTTAGTGTGCTGTATATGCCTTTTGACATCTGAATTCAATTTAGCAGCTCAGAAGGGTATTTCCCTCCTTGCAGAATCATTTGCTCAAATAAGCAGGCCTGAGATCCATTTTTAGGATTTATTTTCTAATCTTCCAGTTTTGGAGTCACCTCAGCTTCACCTGTACTGAATCATTAAGGTTGGAAAAGATCTCTAAGATCATCAAGTCCAACTTTCAACCCAACACTACTGTGCCTACTAAACCACGTCCTGAAGTGCCATATCTACATGTTTTTTGAACACTTTCAGGGATGGTG